CCGCGGGCGTGGGGTCCCGGGAGGGTCGGGCTCCCCCGCGCGCGACTTCCACGGGAGCCCGGAGGAGGGGACCAGAGATTCGAAACCGACCGGCGACCGGGTCGCCTCTCCATGGCGAGTGTATAGACGCGTGGCTCCTGGCATTCCACATGGGCGTGTACCTGTGTGCCTGGGCGATGGCGATTAGCGCCTGAACTCCAGTGCGGTGCCCACCCAGAGTCCCTTTCCTGACATCCTCGCCTCCGCTGTGGGCTGGAGTTTGGCTGAATTCAGAGAAACTTAAATCCTCAGCTTTCTGGCACATATCTCCGGGGTGACAGAAACTGCCTTGTCCCCCTCTCCTGTGTCAGTGGGACATTTACCACCCAGGGCACCCCACTGATTGCCTTTGCATCTTTTTTATTTCGGTTTGCGCACAGGCTTTGTTTTTTGGCCCAGTATTTAGCCTGGTGGCTCAAGTTCAGCCGGCTGTGTCACCCACAGTGTCGCTTGGGCCGATCGTTTAACCCCTGCAAAACCTCTGCTCTCTTTCTGTAAAAGGGAACAACAGTTCTTTCCATTCAGCTATTGGAAATGGACTTGACTTCACAGTGCTGTTTTGTGCAAATTTCCATCGACATCACTAATATTTTCGTTAACGTTTTAGTGTTTTGCTTTCGATCGGTTTCTTGCCCTTTCCTCTTCCTTCTGGAAAGTTGGCTCACTTTTAGCGTTAAAGTGAGATTTTTCTGTGTGTGTAAAACCATAACGCCCGTGTGGGAATTAAAATCTTATCTCTGGTTTGAATATTTTGTTGAGGTTATGCTCAGGTATGGGATTATACTGTGCTGCCAGCAAATCAGAAATACCCTTACTTGCTAGTATACAATCACAAACAGGAAATGAGTAACTGTTTTCTCACTTCTGAGAGAGTGCGTCTCTAGTACCACCCAGACGCAAGGGGAAGCCGTTCATTCATTACATACAGTGGAGCCTGAGGGCAGGAGGGCTTAATTCTCTCAAGGAACCCTGATTGAGAAAGATAACAAAGTAAGGAGAAATGGCGGGGTGGGTTTTTCTATTGCAGTGGTTTCCAAACTGGGTGCATTTACTTAAAAGATAGCCTCTAAGGTTTAGATTAGCGTAGAAATTTTGAACTTTCAAAAATACTGAGATGTAAATGCCTTTCATTTTCTTGGAAGTTGAGCATCTCCATGACTTGATTGGTCTTCTGTTAACCATAACTGATGCTTCACTCCAGCCTGGTTCGGGGGCACCCTGGCCAAACCTGGCTTTCAGGGGTTCTGTAAGGCTCTGTGCTCTGGCTCTTTGCGAAGTTCTTTGCCTCACCCTAGATCTTTGCCCAGACATCACTCTCACAGAGATTTTTCCCTCGGTCTCCAGACTAGAGGGGACCGCCCTGCTCTGTGTCCTCATAGACTTTAAATCACAGCTCAGATTTCCAGTCTTTATCTTTTTCTCCCCTGGAACTGGGTCTCTTTAGCTCAGCAGCTTGACCTGTAATAGTTGCTCAGCGTTTCAGTGAATGAAGGAGTGTTTAGTGGTTGTTGGGTTTAAACTGATGTTTAAGGCCTACAATTGGAAAGCTTGACAATTTATTTGTGATTAGCTGCTGTTATTTTAAAATGTAAAATATCATGGGGCTGCTGATTTGGGTCAGTGGGTACCTTGTTACCAGTCTACCTGGACTGAAGGAACTTTACAAAACTGAATCTTAAGCCTTTGTTGTCTCCATATTTTACATATTTAAAATCAGATGCGTAAGTACTGAACGTGTATGTTTATATAATTGAAGGTCCCACAATGATTGATAAGTGTAACTAAAAATAGTTGAAACAAACTGGAAATTTTAATCTTTTTGTTTAATATATATATATTTTCGGTTTACGTGGACAATTTGTTTTTTGTTTTTAACTACTGTATTGTTAATTATGTTTACCCATGCAGAGGAGTTTTTTCTTCTCCAAATTTTCATTCATTCATTATTCCCACAGATACTTGTTAAGCATCTACCATGTGCGGGGTTACTAGGCCTGGTGAAAACAGCTTGTGATCTTCCCAGCAAGGGCAGATTTGAACTGATCAGCAACACTATGGAGCCTGACCCAAATGCCTTTTTTTTTTTGTTGGTGGTGATAAGGCATGGCCCCCACAGCCTTAGATTTCAGCTTTTTCTGCTCTGACTGTGCCTTGTTTTTAGTGGGTTAAAGCCTTTTAGAATTACTGTCATTTTAGAGAGATTTCAGCAAGGAGAGCTGAGATAAATGGACATATCCAGTCTGCTAACCATCTCGATGCTATAATGGCCAGAGGAAATGGAAGAACAGCTCTTCAGGCTTCTGTTAGTCAGGCTTCTGTCAACCAGTATGCCCTTCTGAGCCTCCTCATCTTTAAGTGTGCTTCCCAGTTGTAATTTGGAAAGCTCTTACGTACTCTGAGCAGTGAGGGCTGGGGAGGATAAGCCAAGTTTCAGAATTCATTGCTTGATGACAAATATCTAGAGATGTTAAAACTTTCTTGAGTCATGGAGGGGATGTTGCAGCTGTTGCAATAGTTCCAGCTCAGTAAGAAACACAGGGTTAACGTGCTCTATGGGAGTGAGTCAGATAACCTTATTTAGATCCTGCCTGGAATTACAGAGGAGGGGATGTCCAGGGTGTTGATATAAGTGTCAGTTGTGGTTAGGAGTGGTATTGAATCCTTTTTTGTTGTTTCTTTCCCTCTATCCAGTCCATTGATGACTTGAACAAATGGGCCCTATTTCTTGTTTCTCCTTTTATACTTGAGGCCGAACACATAGCATTTGTGACAGAGAGCATTTGGGTGCAAGGTGAGAATTTACAGAGACCATCTTCCTCTTCAGAAACTGTGAGTAACATGTTTTTCACTTGTGTACCATAAGGAAACCGTGTCTTAATCAAAACTGAATTTGTTTTTTATGAGTGCTCTTTCCCAGCCTTTGTGACTCCGACTCCCCTTCTTTTTTGGATGTTTTGGAATAAAAAAAATATTAGTAAAATTACTTTCACCTGTTTCTTTTTACTTTTTTTTGTGATTAGACTTATATTTAAATTCTCTAGTGGGATTGGCCTATAAAAATATTACTTTATTGTGCTGTCCTTGTCTTATTATCAAGGATACAGAAACTCATAACATGAGCTGGGAAGTATTCCCTCTTTTTTTTAACCTCTGAAAGAGATTTTTTTCTTTTTTCTTTTTTCTTTTTTAATGTGGCTGCTAGAAAATTCAAAACCACCTTTGGCTTGGGTTTGTGGCTCACACTGTGCTCCCATCACTTTAGCTGCAGGGGAGGTTGAGAAATGTAGTCCATAGCTGGACAGCTGTGGGGTCAGCGAAAACCTGTGGGGTCAGCGAAAACCTGAAGTTCTCTTACTATACGGGAGAAAGACAAGATTAGATATTGGGGGCTAATGAACATCTCTGCCACAGTTATCTCATTTAACTTATGTTCTAAGGAAAAGTTAATCAAGATCTTGCTTAATAGCAATTACTGAATTCTTAATTTTCTGGGGTAGAAAGATGCCTACCCACCAAGGAAGACAGCTACTATCTGGTTAACTCATTTTATTTATGATAAATGAGTTAACATTTGCATTTTGTGGGGCTCTTCTGAATCTATGTATGTATTTTTCACCTAACTCTGAAGTCATTTGAGTTTAACAGGATCCTAAGATATTAAGTAGAAAATACATATGTAAGGAAGACTTTCGAACTTGATGAGATCTTATATTCTTTCATGTCTTTAGACTGGAACTCGTACAGATATTTAAAGTGATATCTTTTGAATTTTGAATATCTCAAATGGCTTTCATTAGTGATCACTCTACAGATACCAACAACAAATAAATGAATCTTAGGAATTCAGTTAAAAAAAATGTAGCATTCACATATTCATATTTTTACTTATTCATTTATTAACAGATATTTATTAAATATCTGCTGTGTTCCAGTTGTTTTGCTAGGTGCCATAATAAATACCAGTTCAGCTCAGTTGAATACAGCTTCAGCTCAGTTTTCAAAATCTTTGGTACTGATAGTAGCAGTCCTGTTTAGTAAGAATTGATGACCCAAAGAACTTACACAATTCTTTTGTTGTAGAAAGTTCACTTATGTTCCTTGTACTCTATCAAGGCATTCATGCGTTCATCCAAGGTTTACTGTGTGCCGTTATATGCTGGGTCGTGTGCTAGGGCTGGAGGTACATGTCATATGGAGATGAAAGATGTGTTCAGAGATGACAGTCCCTGTCATCTCAAGGAGCTCACAGTGTGGGAGAGAAGACAGCTAAGTAAATGAACCATTAAAGTTCACCATGACAAGTGCCCTGGGAAGGCACAGAGAGGGAGTGGTGGCGAACCCATCTAGATAGGGTGAGGTCAGGAGGGACTTTCCAGGGGGAGGTAATAATCTGAGTTTTAAAGGAAAAACAGGAATTAGATGAAGAGGGAGGAAGGGGCTTCCCAGGTACAGAGTGTTTGCACCTGGGAACTGTACATGGTTGGTACAATTAGTGTCTACGTTAACATGAGTTGGGGGAATGGCCCGAGGTAAGGCCAGAGGGGAAAGATGGGGCTGGAGTATTGTGTGGGAAATGACCTTGATGCAGTGGTAGCTTCCAGGAACATGACCAGCCAGGCCATCCAAGCCGTCACAGAAGAGAGAGGCTCGCAGACCAAGCGAAGATGCTCAAATCGCACCATTTATTAAATCAATTCAAAACACCAGCAAGAAACAAGTGGAGAGCTCTGGGGTAGGTTAATGCTTAGGATGGGGTGCCTGAGGGATGCAAGGACCACACCCCTGAGTCCTGGGCTATGCAGTGTTCACATGTCCTGCCTCTGCTGTGTCAGCCTTCCCTGGCAAGGGTGTGGTTATAAGGACCAGAGTTGAGGGTAAACACGGGCTCGGCAGATGGAGGGTGCCCGTTGCCGGCACACTTGCTCTCTTGGAGACACTTGGGACACGTGTGCCTGGGAGATCTGTGGCTTCCCACTGGTCTGCTCAGAAGCAGTGCTTTTTATCTGTTTCTAGGCAGAATATACGTGGGGCCCTAATGGGTGGCCGACTTAGGGACGGCATAACTGTCAGTCTGGAGGTGGCGTGATTTGTGTCTTCCTAATATTTACAGTTTATTTGGTCTGTCCATGACTTTCTGCCTAGGAGTAATACTCTCTTTTGTTCTGTCCTTTTCTGTTCAACACACACACGTTCCATTTATTTCATCTGTCTTGAGCATGTCTTACTAGTTACCAACTTAATGTATCTGATGAGTTTCATCCATGCTGTTTTTGCTTCCTATGTAGTAGAATTGAATATTCTTTAATAGTATGACAAATACACATAATACACAGATCGAATAAGGTTTATATGCACTGATTAGGGATTTGGACTTTATCCTAGGGGCAGTAGGCCAAAACTCCTTTTTTCTTTTTAAAGCCGAATGATCAGATTTGTGCTTTTGAAAAATCAGGATCAGGCAGATTGGAGCGAGTGGGTCGGAGGAAAGCAAACCTGGAACAGATTGTTCTCCACATGGGAAATGAGAAAGGCCTGAAGAGTACTGGTAGGAAGGGTGAGCTGGAGACAGATGTACGAGGCTTTTGGGAGATGATGAGGGGTTCAGGTGGATGGTGGATCCTTTGTGGAGATGAGAATGTGGCAGGAAGGGCTGGTGGAGGGGGCCAAGGTAAGGAGCATAGTTTTGCACATCGTTTTAGTCAGCTTTGCTGAAATAACAGACGACCTCAGAATCTCAGTGTCTTCTAACAAATCTTTGTTTCTTGTTCGTGTAGCATGTAGGCTCAGCAGGTTGGCTCCTGCTCTTTCAAGCCGTGACTCTGCCCTGGCCCCTGCTCCGTGCATCTTTCTCGTGCAGGCTGAAGGAGCATGTCCACCTCTGGACATCTCATGCAGAGGGGAGGAGTGAGAGAGCGGGCAGAAACTCAGTTCAGTAGATTGATTTGTTTGTCCAGTAGGATGTGGTGAAAGTAACATTCTGGGATTCATAAGAACTGGGACTCATAGGTCATAAGAGATCTTGCAACTTCTGCCTTGGAACCCAGCTCCCATGTGAGAAAGCTCATGCTGCTTTGTGGCAAGGTCCACGTGAAGAAGACCTGAGGCCCTCAGTGGACAGTCCTAGCTGAGTTCGCAGCCAACAGACAGCTCCAACTTGCCAGCTGGGTGAGGGCACCTTCTTGGAAGTGGGTCATCCAGGCCCTCTTGAGCCACCCTAGCTGATGCCATGTGGAGCAGAGTTGAGCTGGCCCTGCCAGGCCCTGCCCAAATTGTGATTTGTGAGCAAAATAAATGATTAGTTTAAGCCGTGACATTTTGGGGTGGTTTGTTACACAGTGATGGATAACCAAAACACTTGAGATGTCTGTTAAAACTTCTCTCTTCCTCAGCTTACCAACGTCAGTGTAGTCGGCGTACAAAGTGGGCAGTGAACAATTGCAGGTGCCAATATAGTGTACTTTAGACCGTGGGCCTCAGGTGCTCATGGGGCATCTAAAGAACACAAATAATATAAAAGAGTTTGTGATAACAAGGGTATTTTTATTATTTTCTGGTTAACAGTCGGTTATTCAGAAAATTAAAATACCTAGACCACACTTTTCCTTGAGTGTCTGGTCAGTCATGGTTTTTTGTTTTGTTTTGTTTTTTTAAGGAAGATTGGCCCTGCGCTAACATCTGTGGCCAATCTTCCTCTTTTTCTTTTTTTCTCCCCAAAGCCCCAGTACATAGCTGTAGAGTTGTAGCTCTGCTGTGTGGGACGCCGCCTCAGCATGGCTTGATGAGTGGTGAGTAGGTCCGCGCCCAGGATCTGAACCAGTGAACCCCGGGATGCCGAAGCGGAGTGGGAGAACTTAACCGCTTTGCCACCAGGCCGGCTCCTCAGTCATGGTTTTAAATGTCACCTGACCCAGTTTATTGTTTCAGCTGTTGCTTGCTATGGACATGTGATATTCCTTACACGGTCACTCGGTTTTCCAATACCCTTCTCTTAAAGGTGCCGTAGGGCATATTGTCTTTTTAGGTAATAGAGACTGGAAATGAATTTTGTGGTGCTCCTTTATCCTCTCTGTTTCCAAACCTGAAAGGCAGCGAGGACGATTGAACGTCAAAAATAAACTCCTCCCTTTACTCTCGTACTTTCATATTCTTCACATCTCTGTGTGCTTGGCCCTCCATCCAGTTCATTACTAGAAGTTTAAAAAAACCTAACATGAAATTAACCTGATTTGTAAGAGGAGAAGCAAGAGCCAGAAAAATTAGCAACATCAATAATCTGACTTGGTAACCGATTGTAACTTTTTCTCGTCTGGGTTCTCCAGAGAAACAGAACCAATAAGATGAGTGTGTGTGTGTGTATGTGTACGCATATACATATATATGTGTGTGTATATATACAGTCATGTTGCTTAATGACAGGGATACGTTCAGAGAAATGTGTTGTTAGATGATTTCGTCACTGTGCAAACTCATAGAGTGCACTTAGACTCTAGAGTGCACTTAGACATAGAGTGCACAAGCCTAGATGGTATAGCCTACTACACACCTAGGCTACATGGTATTAATCTTATGGGACTACCATCATATATGCAGTTTGTCATTGAATGAAACATGTGGCACATGACCGTATAGAGAGAGAGAGAGAGAGAGAGAGAGAGAGAGAGATGGAAAGAGAGAAAGAAAATTTATTTTAAGGAATTGGCTCATGTGATTGTGGAGGCTAGCAAGTCCAAAATCTGCAGGGCAGTCCAGGAGGCTGGACACCCAGGGAAGAGTGGATGTTGCAGCTCAAGTCCGAAAGCAGTCTGGAGGCAGAATTCCCTCTTTCTTGGAGGACCTCAGTCTTTTTCTCATAAAGCCTTCAACTGATTCGATGAGGCTCACCACGTTATGGAGGATCATCTGCTTTACTCGAAGTCTACTGATTTAAATGTTAATCGTTTCTAAAAAATATCTTCACAGTCACATCTGGACTAACGTTTGGCCAAATATCTAGGTACCATGGCCTACCCGAATTGACACATAAGATTGACCATGACTCAACTGGTTGTTGAGACTTCTGTTCCCCATTTGCTGCAGAACTTCAGCTCCCCACATGCCGCAGGCAGCCTTGGGAAGGGCAGTTCATTGAAGAGCCACCCTGTCGATTTAATCTAGTGCCTTTTGAGTTGAGTGGAGCAGATACATCACTGCCTGCTGCAATCAGTGCAATCTCAAGTCAGGAGCTTTGGTGAAGGAAGGGATTTCTGCACACTGCTTTTAGGAGGAAATCCCTTTGTTTAGGGCTGACCTGGGCTTCCTTCGCTTTGATCTTTGGGAGTGAGCTTTTCGCTTGACTTCCCCTTTCTTTCTCGACCCCTTTGTTTTTATCTGGAAGTGCACATTGGAAGTGCCCTGTTTGCTTTTAGGACGGCCAACACCCCTGGACGAGTATCGGTGACGGTGAGGCTCTGCTTTGATCGGAGCGCACAGCCGCTTGGAGGAAGTTTGCACGGTCTGTGGCTCATGGACCACGTTCCTAGAAAAAGGAAATGCACCTAGGTGAGGAAACAGCTGGCGGGGTTGAGAAACTTGATCAGGGACGTGTGTATGTTGCTCTCTGGCCGCTTCCTGCCCTTCTCCTTGCTTTGTTTACCTCCTGCGTCTCTCCCCTTCAGACGGGTGTGAGGATTTAATTATTGGCTCCTGTTACACTGAGTGCTCACTCTGAGGCATACGTCCAGCAGGGTGGTAAATGAACGTTTGAGCAGCTAAATTCTGGGCTGGTCTCTGTTGGCTGAGTCTTTCTCCTCATTCTTTGATGGCCAGCGATGGCGCTGAGAACAAAGATGCTTTTAGCTTCGTGCAGGAGGCTACGCTGGTCCTTTTCACGTTTCCCGTGCACCCTCATCTGAAGAGTCAGCTCTTGCCGGGATGATAGTTTATCTTCTCATCCTCCTGAGCTGACATCCTTCCTCAGAGCTGGAAATCAACTAAATATTTGTCTGCATTGTAAGCTTCAGCTCTCATCCTGGACCAAAGATGTGTTTGCGAAGGAGTCCTAGCAGAACGTTGGTCAGGCCCGACCCTCCAGATGAATCCTCCTCCCTCTGGCTGGGTGTGTGGGAGGAAGTGGGAGAAGAAGGCGATAAAGTAGAGGAAAAAGGAGCACTGAAAGAAAATTCTGAGGTTTATTTTTATCCAAATATTCTAGACTGATTAGTGAGTTTCAATTTTTTGACTGTATAAAGACTTGCATTTATTATTTTTCCCTCCAAGACAGTGTTTCTCAGCTTTTAAAATTACTGTTTCCCTAAGGAGAAAAATGAAAATCAATTTGACCTTTCTCTAAGGAGAGAAATGAAATACTAAGGAATAAGATTTTGTGGGGTAGGGGTGAGCCTTGGAGGGCTACAAACTGTTGTAATATCTAGAACTTTTTTCACCCTCTCCCCTTCCCTGAGAACCAATTTTTGCCCATTTGGGGGTGATATGGTTGCTGCTGAGAATACTTGCTCTACGGACTCCCTGTTTTGGAATAATAAGAGTGCCCCCTATGGACAGGTGCTTTTTGCATTACCCCGTTTAGCTCTCCCAGTAACCTTCCCAGGTAGGTGCTCTGATCGTCTCCACCTTGCAGGGAGGAAAGCCAAGCACAGAAGAGTTGAGTGACTTCCTCGGGTCACACAGCTATTAGCCAGAGGAGCCAGGATTCAAGTTGGAAAGTCGGATTCTGGAGTCCTCTTATTATCTAGGCTATCCTGGAAAACTGCCTTAACTTTCTTTTCTTTTTAAGATTGAACTGTAATTCACGTACCATAAACTTCATCCTTTTAAAGTGTACAATTACAATTCAGTAGTCGTGCAATCATCACCACTATCTAATTCCAGAACATTTTCATTGCCCCAAAAAGAAACACATACCCATTATCAGTCACTTTCCATTCCCCTTGTCCCTGGCCCCTGGCAATCACTAATCTACTTCCTAATTCTCTAGATTTGTCTGTTTTGGATATTTCATATAAGTAGAATCATATAATAAGTGACCTTTAGTTATTGGCTTCCTTCACTTAACATAATGTATTCAGGTTTTATCTACGTTGTAACATATATCAGTACTTCTTTCCTTTTCCTGGCTGAATAATATTCCATTGTATGGATATACACATTTTATTTATCCCTTCATCTGTTGATGGACAATTGGGTTGCTTCTACTCTTTGGCTATTATGAATAATGCTGCTGTGAACACTTGTGTATGAGTTTTGTGTGTGGACATATGTTTTTAGTTCTCTTAGGTATATTCCTAGGAGGGGAATTGCTGGGTCATTTGGAAACTCTGTGTTTACCTTTTTGAGGAACTGTCAATTCTTTTCCAAAGAGGCTGCACTATTTTACATTTCTACCAGCAATGTATTAGGGTTCTGATTTCTCAAGATCCTCAACAATACTTATTATTGTCCATATTTTTGTTTATAGCCCTCCTAGTAGCGGTGAAGGATCTCATTGTGGTTTTGGCTTGTGTTTCCCTAATGACTAATGACACTGAGCATCTTTTCAAGTGCTTATTGCCACTTGTATATTTTCTTTGGCGAAATGTCTGTTCAGATCCTGTGCCCATTTTTAAATTGGGTATTTGTCTTTTTATTGTTGAATTGTAGGAGTTCTTTGTATATTGTGGATACAAGTCTCTTATCAGATACATGATTTGCAAATATTTTCTCCCATTTTGTGGATTGTCTTTTCGCTTTCTTGGAAGTGTTCTTTGAAGCACAAAAATTTTTGAAGTCCACTTTATCTATTTTATTGTTGTTGTTGTTGGTACTTTTGGTGTCTTGAGAAACCATTGCCTGATCCAAGGTCATGACGATTTATGCCTATGTTTTCTTCTAAGTTTTGTAGCTTTAGCTCTTATGTTGAGGATTTGATCCAGTTTGAGTCAATATTTGCACCTAGTGTGTGGTATGAGGGAGAGGTCCATCTTCATCCTTTGGCATGTGGATATCCAGTTGTACCAGCACCATTTGTTGAAACATTATTCTTTCCCCATTGGATTGTCTTGGCAACCTTGTCCAAAATCAGTAGTCTATAAATGTATGTGTTTGTTTCTGTACTCTCAGTTCTATCCCATTGATCTGTATGTCTATCCTTATGCCAAATGGACCTTGACTTTTGAACCCCAACTTTCCTGGACGAGCAGGTACGCTCAGGGCAGAAGTGGCTTGGTTTGTGGGAATTCCCCTTACTTACCTCTGTAGGTCCAGGATTTACCCCAGCGTGTGGCCTGACAGTTCTTCATTATCTAGTTAGTTCTTCAGTGATTTTTTTTTTTTTAATAATTTTATTTATTTACTTTTCCCCCAAAGCCCCAGTAGATAGTTGTATGTCATAGCTGCACATCCTTCTAGTTGCTGTATGTGGGATGCGGCCTCAGCATGGCCGGACAAGCGGTGCGTCCGTGCGCGCCCGGGATCCGAACCTGGGCCGCCCGTAGCAGAGCATGCGCACTTAACCGCTAAGCCACGGGGCCGGCCTTTCAGTGACGTTTTTAAGATGATGTTTTATTTATTTTTTTTAAGATGATTTAAAAAAACTTTATCCAGCATTTTTCATTGTTTTCAGCAAGAGTTAGTTCTAAAAACCTGGCCCACCAATATAAAAACCGGAATTCAGAAGTATATACCTCTGATTATGAAATTCAGGCCCGTATATCCCTGAGAAGATTTCTTTTGGGAAGTAGGGAAATTATTCATGGCATCTTAAAAAAAGACCTCTATATTCACTATTGCTTTTAAAGCCAGATTTGTAATAATTAATAACAGCAGCTTTCTTGAAGTGAGCACTTTTTCTGTCCCAAGCGTTACGTGTACTCTCTGATTTCATTAACACGACAAACCTGTGAGATGACGGGTGTTAATATTATCATTATTCCTGTTTTGCAAATGAGGAAGTTGGGACTTGAGAAGGTTCAAGATTGCCTAGGGACACACAGCGGTGACCAGCTGAGCTTGACCCAGACTCGGGTCCTCACCTTCCAGGCCCTCACCCCCAGGGGGCTCCCCTTGTTGTCCCAGTTTCAAATTCTTATTGTGTGACCGCTGGCAGGCTTAAAGCGCCGAGTTCTGTCTGCTCTCATTTTCGCTGTCCCCCTTGTGGTGGCAGTGGGAACTGCACAGGTGGGAGCTCCCGGGTGAGTCTCGCCCGTGGTTCTCACATTTCAGGAGTCACCAGGGAAGTGTGTTTAAACTTGAAGCTCCAGAGAGTCCGAAGCACCAGGTGGAGAGGAGCGCCCGGGAGCTTGCGGTTTTCCTGTGCTCCCCGGGACTTCTGCTGCAATTGGACTTGGACCCCACTTTGAGGAAAGCTGCTCTGCTGCTTACATTGTCAATTACCGGATATTGTGGACTTGCTGTTTTCTCCTTTTCCTGTTACTAAAGGGCCAGTTTAATGTGTTTCCAGTGTGTGGGGAATGGCCTTTTCCCCCTTTAGTTCCTCGAAAAGCGGTTGAGACTTCAATTACTTTTAAATGAGAGGGTTGTGTTTAGTGCTTTGTAAGCCCTGTTGTCAGGTAGAAATGAGTGTTCGAGCCGGAGCAACTTTGCGGTTAATAAAATGTGGTGTCCACTAATTCGTTATGTTTGACCAGAAGGTCGTGGTGGGGAGCTGAAGGGAGAAATAAGGTATCTGGTTATTTTAGAGAAGAAAAGTCTCACCCTCTCTTTCTTCCTCCTCCCTCGCCCGCTTCTCCGCAGATCGTGAAGTGGTCAGACTGTTGTTTGCCCTTGGCTTGCAGACCTGGGGATCCATATCAGTTAATCGCCGAAGCGAGTGTGGACGACTTCAGCAAGCTGGGGGTGGCGTTCATGGAAGACAGGCTCCAGATCGCTAATGGACTGATCCCCCAAAGGATCGTTTGTGAGTAACTTTAGAAAGTGTTTCCATCGCAGCAGGATGCCGCAGGTTATTAGCTTAAGGACTGTTGAGCCCTCCTATTTGGTATGACTTCACAGCAATGCTTATTTTCAGTTTAATTCAATCAACAGGTTGGATATAGCCATAATAGTATAAAATTCACGCACGTCATGTTTTTTTGAGGTGCTTATTCCTGAGTATATCGTTAGTGCTTTTTAAATTCTTAAACAAGGATTTCCCATAATTGCATTGTCCATGAGATGGCATGCAAATTTAGAACCCATATAATGTTTATTTCACACAATCTAATACAGTAGAACTAGTTTCTAGACTATAGTTTGATTGAATGGAAAGCATAGCCAGCGTTACTACAAAGTTCTAAATCTAACAGGTTTTTACTTAAAATATACGTACCACAATATTTTGGGACACATCTTTTTTCAGGAAACACGCAAGATGTTCTTCCTTAATTAGGCTTAAAAGCAGGCTCTCTCTGTCATGAAAGTCTTCATTTGTATCTCAAGCAAATGAGTGTCACCAGGTCTGGAAATTTGTGTAAACCACTTAAGTTCTCCATCTGCCGTGTGCCTGTGCCTAATAACCATGTCAGATGCATGGCAAATGTTCAATAAATGTTTTTTGCATCAGTGATTGTACACTTATATTCCAGTCCTGAGACAAGATAATGGAAAGACCCTTCTCCCCGGTTCATCCTATGAAGTGTCCAGAGAACGAGTTTTTCCTGGGGTGTGCTTGGATAGACTCTAGCTATGTGCCTTTTTTGTTTCTTAGTTTCATTTTATATAGGAGATTGACACCCAAAAAATTGAATCTATAAGTAAGTAGGCAAAATCACATCCCTGAATCTTACTTTCTTCACCAGTCTGTAAGGGGATCTGAGGTTTTCCAATTCGTATGGGAAAGGTGTTGTGGAAACTTGGAGTTCCACTAGGGACCGTCAGGGGCACCCTCCTAGGAGGTGGGAGCGATTATATGGATCTGAAGGGTGCCTCAGATTGAGGTGGGGATGCGGTTGAGAGCTGTGCAGGTAGGCTGCCATGGACTGTACGTCATGGAGTATGGAGAGTGCCCTGGGGCTTTGAGCTGAGCTGCATGACAAAGCAGAAGAATTAATTGACTGTCTTTTCTGCTCATGCCTTAGCGGTACACTTGCAGGACTCTACTCTGAAGGAACTTAAGGATCAGGCCTTAAACAAGCAAGCCCAAATCCTACAGCCGAACCCTGAGTCTTCTGTTGAGAGTAAGCCTGAGCTGGACATCATGGAGCACGTTGGCCAAGATGACCTGAAGGTTTTCGGTGCAGAACCCACACAGGGGAGAGGCGGTGCCTCTGGGAGCGAGGCTGCCGGGGAGGGTGACAGAGGAGTGGGCTCCATTGAGCTCTGTCACCTCCATCTGTCTAGTTGCCACGAGTGTTTAGAGCTTGAGAACAGCACCATTGAATCCGTCAAGTTTGCATCTGCAGAGAACATTCCAGATCTTCCATACGATTACAGTGGCAGTTTGGAGAGTATTGCTGATGACGTCTGCCCTGAGAGAGAAGGGAGGAGAGTCAACATCACGGGAAAGGCACCCAACATCCTCCTCTATGTGGGCTCCGACTCCCCAGAAGCCCAGGGCAGGTTCCAGCAGGTCCGGGACGTTCTGGCCGACTGTGTGGACACTGACAGTTACACCCTTTACCACCTGCCAGAGGACAGTGCTCTCAGAGACCCGTGGTCAGACAACTGTCTGTTGCTGGTCATTGCCACCAGGGAGTCTATTCCCGAGGACCTGTCCCGGAAATTCATGGCCTATCTTTCTCAGGGAGGGAAGGTGTTGGGCCTGTCTTCATCCTTCACATTTGCTGGCTTCCAGGTGATGAGCAAGGGCACACTGCAGGAGACAGTCCAGAACTTGGTTTTCTCCGGGGCTGACCAGAGCCAGGTGGAACTCAGCGTCCTGAGCAGTGGCTACGTTTACGAGGAGGGCCCTGGGGAGCAGCTCAGCCTGGGCAAGCTCCAGGGCCGCCTGGAGAATGAGGACAAGGATAGGCTGATTGTGCAAGTGCCTTTTGGAACATGTGGAGGAGAAGCTGTTCTTTGCCAGGTACAGAGGTTGGCATCCATGCAATGATCTTTGTGTATCTTTGACCAGGAATACACTCTTGAAGGCTGTACATTGAAAGGTTCTGTGTGCTGTGGTACTTTTGGCCTTCAGCTGGGAATTTTTGCAGATGGTGAGTTGAAGGTTTAGATCAGGGCTTTCCTGTCACATGAATATCCAGTTTCACCAAAATACTTGTGATGGAGGAATGAAGCAGAAGGTGTTATGGCTAATTAAAGATGGCTGGTTAGCCAAGGATTAGTCAGAAAATTTTTTCTTGTTTTGATCTATGCTGGTAATAATCTTTCTACAATACATTATTCTACTCTCTTGCCTCAAAGCACACTCTGGTTAGTGTAATCGAACCTTTATTTAATGTAGGGGGTTGAGTGCGTATGTTAGTAACCAAACGTTAGTGACCATGACGTGAAAGTATTGTAGTTGATGTCCAGGATTTGTGTGAATGCTCACCAACTGCTGGGGTGGTGAGTGTTGAAAACATCTCCAAATCCTCCATTCCTTTATGATTTGTCACTCGTAAAATCTAAGTGCTGAGAAAAATTGCAAATAAGGGAATATTGAAGCGATTTAGATTTATGGCATATTAATACATAGGTAAGAAAAAACTGGAAAGAGATGACAGGAACATGCAACTTCCCTTCCCATCCTTAGGGGGGCCTTTGGCTCATCTGTTGGGTTTTTTCCCACCTTTTTTTTCTTTTAGCTTTTTGTTTGTTGAAGCAAATGGTAGCGGAATAGACTATTTCAGAATTTCTGATCATTTACAGCAAAGCTTTTAATATCTGAGGGCAAAAGTTTTTTGTTAGGTGAACACTGATCCTTCAGGATTTGATGATCTAATGAGAAAACTAAGTAGATGTAGGTGTTTTGCCCAGAATAGTTCCCGGGATGAGTGTAACAGATTTTGTTTTATTATAGGGATCTTTTTAATGACTTAGAGAACTGTTTCCTTTTTTTGTTATTGTTTCTTTTCATTTCTTATGCTGTGCCTCTTTCCAGCCCTCCTAGAAGCTAAGTCTCTTGGGTTTTCTGACCAAATATTCTTCGAGGGGGTATAAATTTGTTTCTTTACTATCTAAAGCCCACTTGTTTGTTCTTAAGCTGATACTGAGGCAAAGATGCATACAATGAAGAAATCTGGACATCAGGACCCGCGACCATGTACAACCCAAGCAGGTTTCATGTAGGCTGCAAACCACACGAATTAGTTTTTGGAGGCCTAATAAATATTCCTCTTATCTTTTTGTCTGCAAATACGGTAACTATAGGAACTGTGCATTCTCAGAAAATCCACTTGAAAATGTGACTTCCTAGAGCTGTATTTCAGTTTTGAATAGCGAATTTTACCACCCCAATGCACAGACTTGTACTAGAAAATTGATTCGGCATTGTCGCGATCCATTTCTCTGAGTTACACAGCAAATCTGCTTGCTGCACCGTTTAAATTGACCCCATAACTGTCGTAAAATTTGATACTGCGTGCATCGCCCTAGAAAAAAAGGCAATATGATGCAGCTTCAAAAATCAGATTCAGAGGATTAGAATGTCATTTTTGATTTTAAATGACTTCCAGTCTCGGTGACAGGGTGACTGTTTTCCCCTCAGGCCTGTGTCTCTACAATACTTCGCCGCGGAGATCAACCAATAAATATTATCACAGGCTGGTTAGTTTCCTCTTTCCCTGTTCAATTTCATAGTCTTTGTCTTTGTAGTAAATCGAGTAATGATGTAACTCAGTAAGAGGAGACGAAGTACTTCAATGGCAAACCACAGCTGCACAGTAGGTGGTGGTCTCACGGCCAAGGAGCTGCCTATTGGTGCCTTGGCCATTTATCAAAATAAAGAAAAAGGAAATTTTGGTGTACTTGCTGTACCGATCAGGTTTGCAGGGAAAATTTCAGGCTATGCATTAATGCTGACTTTTGGTTATCAAATAGACCAGGAGTTTGGCATGAAGTTGTCCAAATAAAGTCTCTAAAAGGGATTTAAAAATATTTTGCTTTCTTTTTTTTTTGTTTTAATTTTATTTATTTATTTATTTTTTCCCCCAAAGCCCCAGTAGATAGTTGTATGTCATAGCTGCACATCCTTCTAGTTGCTGTATGTGGGACGCGGCCTCAGCATGGCCGGAGAAGCAGTGCATTGGTGCGCGCCCGGGATCCGAACCCTGGCCGCCAGCAGTGGAGCGTGCACACCTAACCGCTAAGCCACAGGGCCGGCCCAATATTTTGCTTTCTTACTTAGCATCTGGCAGAAATGGTTCTGCTTCTATAGTAGACTTTCTTAACCACAGCACTGTGGACATTTTGGGCTGGATCCATCTTTGTTGTGGGGTCGTCCTGTGCATTGTAATGGGGTGTTAGCACTACCCACTAGAGGCCACTAGCGCTCCCCTCCCCCTGTTGGTGACTGGACGCATTTTTAGTTCTGGCTTTCAGTCTAGTCAAAAAGCCTTAATTTTAGAAGAAGCCAAGTTACAGAAATGGGCCCATCACTATGGTAACACCTTACAGCCCAGAGGATGAGACATGTGTCGGATACCACAGAGGACCAGGAGTGCAAATCCAGCACACACGCTCTGGCCTGCCCTTCTGTCCTTGAATCAAAGTGCAGAGCCAGAGGTGGCCTCTCTCCTCGCTTCCGCTGTAGAAGCACCTAATCTTGGCACCGACACGAGCTCTCCTAGCAGTGTCTGTAGCCGTCCTTTCCCTCGCCTCTTGGAACTCCGGAGGCCTGCTCGTGGGGCGAGCACGCCTTTCCTCCTCGGCGTCGCTCATGTGTGGTGGCAGGTTCAGTGCACCTCCCTGTGTGTGCTTCTTGGGTCTTCTGTGTGTTCACTCAGTCCATGGGGGACACGTGCCATTGATCACGCTTGCCCCCTCTCCTCTGGGCCCGGGTGGGGTTAGAACTTCACTCATTTCGTTTCTGCCACCTGTCGGGGGTCATCGCCAGGATAGCCACGTGCATTAAACGTGACCTGCTGCGGTGCTTTGTCCCCTGCAGGGGAGAGGCACACATTTAGGGTAAGAATGGGATAGGAGTTTCTGTAGGATTCAGATACCGTCAGGGATTTTGAGTTGCCTGGAGGCTGGTACCATGCTTCTTATTTTCATAATGCTCCTATAACATCAGGTCAGGAGCTCTACATACAACAGAAGCCCACAGCTGACCTGTGGCAAAAGCAAAATAAAATAAAGCAAGCATGCTCAGGTTGCTTTTCTCGGTACTCAGTGTTCTGGCACTCTCTAGGCTGTAACTCACAGTTAAAATCTGATCTCAAGAGAGCTAGAAGTTCTAGTACATTCCTTTATACCAAGACACACACCGCTGATTGGAAAGTTCTAGCTCAAGGGAGCTAGACATTCTAGTATGTTCTTTCATACTAAGATACAGACTGTTTAGTGATAGGTGGGGCTATTAATTTTAACTGGACAACAAAGCCTGAACTAAATGCATGAAGTTCCAAATCTTAAAATTCAATCATGTGAATGGGGGGGGAGGCAGGCCTTTCTGGGGTCCCCCAAACCCCACTCATCTGTTTGAATTCCTGCAAACACTTAAAACGGTGAGTAAGGCTCCTCTGCTGCCCGGTGGTTATGACTAATAGGGAGAACAGGAGTTTCAAGCATGACCCATTGTGTCTGCCCGAGTTCAGTAGTGACTTTAGTTGGTTCTCAGCACGACCATATTTCTAAATGTTTTAGTTGTATAATCAAGTTAAGTGACTTGCCCAAGGTAATGACTGGTTAGTGATAAGAGCTGGGAACCGGAAAGAATTCGATTACTCTCCAAGGTCCTTTCCGCCACGACCCCTCAGCCTGACAGCCACAATTTTAATCTGCTCCTTTGAATCTTTTTCCTGCTTGTCATTACTTTCCAAATATTCAAGTTCAGAGTTCGTATGCTGTTGATAATTAGAAGGATTCATGTTCAAGTTTTCAGAAAAACTGGTAGAGACACTTTTTTTCTTAATATTGCTAAGTGTCCCGGTTTATAAAGTGGTGTCTTTTTCCCCCAGGTACACTTAGAACTACCTCCCAGCTCTTCACTAGTGCAAACTCAAGAAGATTTTAATCTGCTCAAATCGAGCAATATGAGAAGATACGAAGTCCTTAAGGAGATCCTGAGAACCCTTGGCCTCAGCTGTGACGTCAAACAAGTTCCTGCCTTAACGCCTCTCTACTTACTGTCCACGGCTGAGGTGAGTGGGTGCGCTCAGCAGGAGGGGAGCACCTCGGGTGCCCTTCTTCAAAACTAACCCTTTTCTTCAATCGTTCCGTTGCCGTGGGTTTCGATTTTGATTTCTGGTTTAAAGATATCCGAGTAGAACTAATTTTTTTGGTGTTTGCATGTAAGAGAGGGAGAGAATGGAGTTCAGAAGATGTTAAGTCTTAAGGTTATGGTTCTTTCCACTTTAGGGGGCAAAGGTCACTGTTTTATGTGTCAAGCGTATATTTGGAAACCACGGTTTATTCATTTGGGATTAAAAACCTTGTTTTGATTTGGGCCTTTCTCAGCGCATCTTCGGAAGGGAGAACCACCAGCTTTGTTTCCTTTGTGCTGACGTCTGCCGTCTTGCGGCAAAGGGGCTCTGGATTTCAGTTTGCATCTTGTAGTTGTATCCAAAAGGAAAATGCCCGTGCAGTTGGGAATGTATTCAGGAATTTTCCTGGCCTTGTGTCTGCCTTTGATGCCTCTGGTTGATACCTGCTTTGGGCAGGTTGCCAGATTCTCCAGGTGTGTTTCTCGCTAATCTCTGCTTTGCTGAGCTGTCAATTTCTTATTAATTATGGTAGATTATTTTGTGGGCCTATTTCTGGTGTCACCCCCAAACAGGGACATTTGTGAGTATAGGGACGGAACTGCAGTTTCAGCAAATACCTAATAGTCCGATTGACTCTGAACACCAAACTTACCTGCTTTCCCTTGAAAATAACAAATTATACCTCCCACCCAGCATTTTTAAAAGAGGAGGAGTTCTCTTTTGGGTTATACCCTGTCCCTTGGCAAACTTAGTTTTCAGAGAAGAGCAGAGCTGTGAGCTCTCTGGGTGGGATGTGCTCACTTGGAGAAGGCAGATATAAAATCTGAGAACATTTAGGATTACGATACCTTATAGGATTATTTGAGGACTAGATGAAATAATAGATGTGAAAGGTCTGTGTTAACTGTATTATTTAAAAGATAGTGCAATTATTATTATTATTATTAGATTACTGAGAGTTTGAATAAGTTACAGGTGTCTACTGTGACTAACAAGTTCCTGGTGCCTAGTCTGAAAAGACCACAGGTAATGTTTTTAATTTGAAAAGTTAATAATATTGCAATGGATGATTTTTTTTTCATTTAGGAAACATTCTTTTGTTGCATTTTCAGTACACAGTTTTTGGCCAGTTTGCACTCTCTTTAATGGGTGCTCTTGGGACTCAATGGTATGACTCTTGTTTGCACCTTCGTCTCAGGAACTCGAAGCTCCATGTCATTTATCTCTGTTTTATGTGTTCAGTTAATAGAAGGAAAAGCATCAGCTCTGTCTTGTGACTTATGAAAAAGCATCAAAATAAAGCTGGTTCTCAGAGCCTCAACATTTATAGACGACCCACCTCTAGACCTCCCTCCTTGGAGGGATGGGCAGAGCCATGTGGGTAAGGGTTTCTGGTCCCCAGGGGAGATGTGACTGTCACTCTCCTAGACCTGCTCTCTCCCTCCTTTCCTGAGCGTGGAAGGCTGAGGCTGGACATGTCTCAGCCTCGCTCCCAAGGTCAGGGAGCGAGACGGACCCAGGCTTGCCCTTGGCAGTGCTCCTTGACCTTTCTCGAGAGTTCTTCTGGCCACACTGGTCTTGGGACATGCACCTCTTGACTCTTGAACGTAGCAATGGAGAGGAAAGAGGACCCCAGGTTACTCTCCTGTGAGCAGAGGTCTGAACTCTGGGCTTTTCCTGTGTCTTCTTTAGGACGGGCATAACCTGGAATACCTAAGCAGGGGCTTTGTATTGTGTCTGCTTATATTAACACACACAGTAGATGCTTCATATTTTCTCCTTCCGGTTCTGTAAACTGCCTGGAGGTGGGGGCATACATTTTCCCCTCCTGATTGGCAACCCCCATTTACAAACCATGGGAATGAAGTGCTTGAACAAGATGTAAGCAAATATTTGTTCTATGTACACATACACAAACACTCTACACAGACTCCAAGACTGCCAAGCCCCTTATGACATAATAACTTTGGAAAAGAGTAATTTTTGGCAATGCTCACGTCTCATTTCGGGTCCTCCATTTGGTCCATCTATACTGTGGATGACTTTTTCCTCCCAACTGTTTCTCTCTGAATTCCATTTTACTTTGGGAGCCCAAGGAACTGAGTGAGTGTATGATTGTTGTGTGGATGCTCATTTCTTGCTGTTTATTACCTTCTTTTAGAAGACCTTGAATCTGCTGTAGAAGGAAATGTAAAAATTCAGAGTTTTAGAGGACGTTTTCTTGGAATATGGATTCTCTGAAAAATTAGCGTGCAAATGAGTGTGAAGGTAGCTGCTCACTGATTGTGGTGGTCTTTCTGGAGGCAGCTGGGCAGTTCCTCCTGCTCTTCTCCTGATGCCGAGGCCGAGACATTTTGGAACACCTTCTAGCCGTTGTGCTGGTGGCTCAGTTGTTATAGATAGAGATGACAGATTGGGAATAGAATTGGGTCATACTTTCTTTTTAGTTTTGTTTCCTGCAGCCTTCTTAATAGATCTCATTGATCCCCATGGAATTAAGTTACGAGGAGAGGATCTTGGCCTCCTGGCATCCGTTATCAGTTATACATGGCCCATCTTTAGATTCATCACCTATGTTATGGATCAGCTGCCTGCCCTGGCTTTGCTCCCTGCTTCCTGTAAGATACTCCGGGCTGTTGTGAATTAAAGATCTCCCCACACGGTGTTGCTGCTGAGCTAGGCTGCCCGGAGAACAGACGCCCTGGAACTACAAAGCAGTTCTTCAGAGATTTAATTTTTCCTCTCTACATCAGTTTCACATAGTACAATTTAGGAGTTTTCCGGTATATTGGTGGCACTTTCTTCTGGGCCTGTAGAAGTTATTTCAGTGTCACAGTTACTAATATTCATCTTTCATTAAACATTTACTGTGTACTAGGTACTGTTATAGGATGGAATATGAAAGAACAAAATAAACACACTAGTTATCTAAATAGTTCTACAGCGTAGCAGCTGTGTTTATACAGTTTGGTGCCTAGACACTCGCTCTTTATAGCAAATAGCACAGAAGATTTATGAGGCACCTATGCGCTGCCGTGTTACTGCGATATAAATGGAATAGAATAGTACAGTGATCCAAGTAGAAGAAAACACTCACACAGAGTCAGTTGACCCTTGGCGTTTGCCAGGGATGTGTTCTGAGACCTTCCTCGACACCCAAACACCACAGTGGCACGTGATTTCCACTATAAAATCCAGTCGCATATGACTTCATGAGTGTCACTGTGCATGACACCATGAGGGAGCAAGACTCAGCTGAGGTGCATGCTCTGGGTGGCTGAGCTGGACTTCTCTCACCAGAGGGTCTTCCCATGCAATCACACCTCCCAGGGGCAGGATTGAATTTCGAGCCTCCACAAAATTACCACATGTTAAAGCAAACCATAAAACAATGCGAGCACACGTATACCACAGGTGTTTGCCCATAGAAAAAAGACTGGAAGGAAATACAGTCCATATAAGGTATATTTCTAGGTGGTGGGCATAAGGGTGATTTTAGTAAACTTTTAAAACTTTCTTTGTATTTTCCAAATTTTCTGTAATGCACACGTGTTATTTTTATAGTGAGCAAAACCGGTTATTAAAAATTAAAAAAACAAATTACTCTATGTCGTTGGACTTTGAAGCCATCCCATAAATGGGCAAAACTTGAATGTGAAAAAGCACTCTCGTGTAGACATTAATAGTTTATTTGATATTCGACATCCATATTATTTAAAAAGCGTTGGCTTTGTTAGTCAATGACTTTACTCTGGTGAAGGACCAGTTATAGCTCCGACTATTAGGTTTATTTGTGGCTCTCGTGTTAGTATGTGGGTGCCTCAGGGCCGCAGCCATCCACTTGCTCCTGTGGGTGGAAGGTACTCCTGGTGGAAGCTCATAATTGGAGTGCCCGTGCCCCCGCCCCCGCTTGGATGTGGCGGTGTTTTGATGGATCCCCTTGGACTGTTTCTCTAAGAGGACCACATACGTCTACACGGTGAGCCCTTTCAGACAGATAACTTCCTTTCTGGAGGCGTGGGTGGAGCGAGAGGCTCATGAGCGTGTTACACGGTTGACCGCTGGGTTCTGTGGAGCGAGATTGCTGGATGGCCACCACATTGACCTCCCACCATTGGTGGTGTGGGACCTTAGCAGGAATATGTCTTTACTGTGAGTGACGCTGATTTTATAGAAAAACCACAGTTCTTTCCCTTGCAGAACCTAAAGTCCAAATGAGAAACTCATCCTCCTGTTTATGTTTCTCTGGGCTCTGTGTCCGTTTTTATCTCGGTCAGAGAAGTGGAGAAAGGAAGAGGGCGTGCGGCTGAGCCATGAGGGCTTTGCACTGAGCGGGGCAGCTGGTTCATTTGGACGGACTGGACGGGTACCTGAATGTAAGGACGGAGCCTCAGCCCCCACCCCACCCCTGCAGAGCAGGCTGCCGGCGGGTCCCTATTGATGCCCCGAGCCCGACTGGAGGAGGAGGAAGAGGGTGGGACTGTGCACAACCCGCCCAGCGTGCTCCCTTACCCTGGGACATCACCGCTCCTGCCTGCAGAGCACGAGGTTCTTTCCGAAACTCCAAAGCTGGGATTCTGTCGGGCGTTCCTTGCGGCTGGTAGCTAATGACGCACGGGTGACCTGAAAGAAGCAACGTCCCAGGCAGGACGTTGGCAGGAGTCCTGCGAGAGGGTCTGCGGTTCCTTTGCCTCAGGGTCAAGATGTAACCATAACAAGAAGTGACAACTGGGTTTGTTATTAAAACAGTGGGGCAAAAATCACCATGTTGTGCGTGTATAATTTTGGTAGTGTGGGAGTTGTGGGAAGGGTAAAAACAAAGACTAGTATAACATTTCATTTTGATTCAACCCCAAATATTTTCCATGAGACTTTTTTTTTCCCTCCTCCAACAGGTATCCTTGGTAAGGATAATTTTGGTATTCGTAAACGTGTCA